AAACTAATTTTCACTGTGGATTTGTATATACAATATTTCGTCCCTAAGAATAAACACCAAGGAATAAATCTCATTTATATTTATAGTGTGAAACTACCACAGGTTTATCAAGTGTTTACATGTACTAACCTGAAAGTTCAGAGACTTTAGATGCTTAATGAAAATGAAAGAGTTTTTATTTTACAATGGGAAAGGTGGCCATTCTTGACAGAACAAGCATCTGTAGGTGGCAAACTGAACATTGGAAGCTTATAAAAACACGATGCTTTTATTTATTTATTTATTTTTGAGTTGGAGTCTCACTCTGTCACCCAGACTGGAGTGCAGTGGCCGCTCCCAGCCACCGCAGCCTCGACCTGCTGGGCTCCAGCGATCCTTCCGCCTCAGCCTTTCGAGTAGCTGGAACTACAGCCACGCGCTACCACACCTGGCTAATTTTTTATATATTGCAGAGATGAGGTCTCACCAATATGCCCAGGCGGGTCTCGAACCCGCGGGCTCAGCATTCCACTCACCTCATAGATATTTGGTATAAAATAACACTGCTCAGTAACAAATTCTGGAGCTATCTACTACTTTAATTCAGATAGTTTTTCCCCAAGACATAATTACAAAAAAAAATTTGCTTCTATAGGATTTAGAAAATAAGGATAGATAAATGCTTCCTACAAGATATTCCTTCTCTTTCATTTACTGAATAGTTTCATAAACACCTGTTCTGATATGGTGCAGTCTTCAATATTATAAATGAAAAAAAAAGAAACAGAAGTATTGATAAAATGGCACCACTTGTGTTAATATAAAAATATATATAGCAGGGAACGGTGGCTCAAGCCTGTAATCCCAGCACTTTGGGAGGCCATGGCGAGAGGACTGCCTGAGCCCGTGGGTTCGAGACCAGCCTGGGCAGCATGGTGAGACCTCGGCTCTAAAATAAATCAAAAAATTAACTGGGCGTGGTGCCTATAGTTTCGGCTACTTGGAAGGTTGAGACGGAAGAGTCGCCGGAGCCCAGCAGGTTGGGGTGGCTGTGAGCATGCTACTGCACTCTAGCTTGGGTGACAAAGTAAAACTCTAACTCAAAAAAAAATACGTATAGGTAGAAATAGATAGATAGACAGACTGAAAGTCAGACAGATGAATGGATGATAAATGGATAAGGACATGCTTGAATTAAAAGAAAATATTTCTAGAACAAAGCTCAAGAAATAGATAATTATAGCCTCTAGGGGGATCTATAGACTGGTGGGAGGGAGTTCTACTTTCCACTGTCAGTCTTGTGTGTGTGTTGTTTATTCTCAGTGAGAGACTGACAAACTGAAACATAGATAAACAGGTGGACAGAAACACATATACACACAGTGAATAGGTAATTCTAACCCTATATTTAATATGACTCATGCGATCAGTTACTTATAAAAACAAGGGATAATGTCCTGGAAATAATCAACCCCAAGTGTGGAATATCACAATGTATTAAGAGTATATAATTGATACATTTATATTCTGTCCCCAAATGGAATGAAATAGAGAGAACCTACAATTTTGTAGCTTGGAAATGTAATGAAACATGTAAAATAATTATTAAGAAAGATGACTTATTTTACATGTTTCATCTTTTCATATTATAAAACTTTCTGCTGAAGAGGGTACTCTAAATAGTGAATGAAAGACAGTATTTAAGATAATATTTCCAAAAGATTGAAATTGAAATTAGAACTATCCTTGACAACTCCAGGCATATTAACCACAGAACAACTTTGAAGATGATTATAGGCAATTTTATGAAAAAACAAATGCAAGATCTTATTGAAAAAATAAAGTTAATGCCATGAATTCTCCAGAAAAAATGTCAGCCACCCCGGAATCAGACAAGTACACTTAAGAAAATGATTAACATAAATATATACAAAGAAAAAGTTTTTAAATTTTGCCATAAGATACATGAATATATTTTAAAGAATTTTACCTTTAAAAATAATCTTTAATAGAACTACTTGTAAGCTATTATATAATAAAAACACTTTTGGCTGACAGATAGATACTTCAGAATATTCTTTTAAAATTATCTAATTTCAATGACTTCTGTTATTTCCTTCTTTTACTCTCAATATTGTCCTGGGTTCAAGGACACATTATATTACCACATTGGTGGGAGAGAACCTAAGACATTGATCAGCTCAGACACCACAGATCTACCTTCTAGCTTCACTATCTCACAGATACTTAACTTCCTCTTTCTCATTCTTCCCTCATCATCTATTAAAGTGAATATTATGTGAGTTGTTTAACAGGGATGTCAGAATATGCTGAGATTTTTCAATAATCACTCCCAGTCAAGAACAAGTTGGAAGCTTTCCCATGGAAATTTCTCTCTAACAGGGAAAATTTAGGAATCACTGCCCAGCTGTTTCTTTACTTTGCAAAGGAACAAATTAAAATTAAAACTGTAGACCAGGAAGTATTCCATTCGAATAGCAATTTTCAGAAAAGGTTCCCTTTGAGAATTCAATATGAAGAAGAAAGTACAATTCGATAAATATACAAGTCAGGAGTATAGTAAACCCATCTACATGAGGTTCCTTTCAGGATCATGAAAGGTTTAATTAGGAAAACAATAAAATGTACTATATCAAATGAAAAAAAGTCATATATCCATCTTTATAAAACCTAACATTTCTGCTTTTAAGAAGCGTAATGTAAGAATCATGGCTACTTTCTTAACAAGGTAAGTCAACGCTGGCATGTATCTAAGTCAGAACACTAGAAGCACACCCCCTTTAATGTCAGGAGAAAGACCAGTCTTGCTCCTACTCGTTAGCAGCACAGTTGTTAATATACTCAGAGCAATTAGACAAAAAAAATAAATAAAAGGAAAGGGTGAAGAAAGGAGGAAGGAAGGAAGGAGGAGGGAGGGAGAGAGGAAGGGAGGGAGGAATGGTGGGAGGGAGGGAAGGAAGGAGAAAGGAAGGAAAGAGAAAGGAAAAAAGGAAGGAAGGAGGAAGTGAGGGAGGGAGGAAAGGAAGCAGGGAGAAATGGAGGGAGGGAGAAGGGCGAAGGAGGGAGGGATGGTTGGAGGGAGGGATGGAGGGAGGGAGGAAGAGGAGGGAGGAGGAAGGGAGGGAGGGATGGTGGGAGGGAGAGAAGGGAGGAGAAAGGAAAGAAGGAAGGAAGGAGAAAGGGAGAGCGGGAGAAAAGGAAGGAAGGAAGGAGAAAGGGAGGGACGGAAGGAAGGAGGGAGGGAGGAAGAAAGGAAGGAAGGAAGAAGAAAGGAAAGAGGAAGGGAGGAAGGGAAGGGAGGAGAGGGGAGCGGAGGGGAGGAGAGGAGAGGAGGGGAAAAGAGGGAAGGAAAGATGAAATTTGCAAACAATACCCTGGATTAGGGATCAGGAAACTTTTTCTGTAAAGGGCCAGACGGTAAATATTTTAGACTTTGAGGCTATACAGGCCCTGTCAGAAGTTCAACTGATCCTTGGACAACATAGGTTTGAACAGTACAAAACCACTTACAGGAGGATTTTTTAAAAATAAATACAGTTCTTTCTACAGGTAAGTTCTACATCAACAACCTAAAGTGGATCAAAAATACCATTGTCACAGGATGTGAAACGTGCATATATAGAGGATCAACTTTCCGCATCTGTGGGTTGTGCAGGACTAACTCTGGGCCGTGTGCATACATTGATTTGGTAGCCAACCATGCGGCCCTGAACTGTACTTGACTTTGCTGTTGTAGTGCAAACAGTAGCCTAGACAATAGTGAGCAAATGAACATGGCAGCACTTCAACCACTAAATCTCTGCTCACGGACAGTGACATTTGAATTTCACATGACTTTCTCTTGCCACAAAACATGACTCTTTTCATTTTTCCCAACTATTAAAAAATATAAAAAATATTCTTGGTTCCTGGACTAAGAAACATACAAAGCAAGTGGACTAGATTTGGTGACCTCTGCCCTAAGTTATTTTAACAGCAACTAAATTAGTTAATTAATTAGTTAATTAATTCAATGAGTTAATTTAACTATTCTTAATTAGTTAAATAGTATCTAACTATAAGATAAGTATGAGCAAACTTATCTAATTGCCTGTTTTTCTGGGTTTTTTTGTGCATCAAGATAAAGATTTGATATAAAGATTGTAAATCTAATTATGAAAGTGTTGAATTTAGCCGGGCTCAGTGGCTCAGCCTGTAATCCTGCGCCTTTGAGAGGCTGAGGTAAGTGGATTGCTGGAGTCTGCGAGTTCGAGACCCGCCTGGGCAACTTGGTAAGACCTCATCTCTACAATAAATCAAAATGAACCGGGCGTGGTAGTGCGCGCCTATAGTTCCAGCTACTATGAAGGCTGAGGCAGAAGGATCGCCGGAGCTGGGCAGGTCGAGGCTGCGGTGGCCAGGAGCAGCCACTGCACTCCAGTCTGGGCGACAGAGTGAGACTCCAACTCAAAAAAAAAAGAAAGAAAAAAAGAAAGCGTTGACTTTTAAAACAGCATTTTTATTTCCTTCTATCTCTCTCTCTCTCTCTCTCTCTCTCAAAAAAAGGACCTGATCTCTTTAGCTGTTAATTATATTCCTGTAAACAGAGTAACCTTAGGAATTTCTATTTGCTTTATATCTAATCTGTAAGCCTCATGGAACTCTCATCAAGAACAATAGCGTACACACAGTTCGTACATTCATTCTGGTTTCTTTCTTCCTTTTTTTTTTTTTGTGTTGAACTCCAGCCAAACATTAAATTACCTTGGGAAATAAAAGGTAAAAGAGAAAGAAGCACAGTGATGGTATTTGGCCTCGTTTTATGAGGATACTCAATCTTAATTTAGACGAAGAGACTAGAGCCTTTTAGTGGGGAGCATGAGAACTGGTAAAAAAGCACAGAGTTTTTCAGACAAGCCTGCTTTTCTTAGGAAGTTTGCAGGTAACTATGCCCTTGTATCTATGCAGGTGGGGTTGTAGGTCAGGTGTGTGTGTCTATAAATCCACGCCCATTTCTAACCAGAAACATCCAGAATACACTTCCAACAAGAGCGCTGATCAGGTCAGGTAAGCATGCAAACTTTCCAGATTATTTAATCAGTGATCAAGCCCTGCTGTGTTTAAATGATCAACTTTGCTACTTAAAAGTTTGCAGTAATGGTAGGGGAGGTGAAATGAAATTGTATTTTTTTTTCTTTTGCAGAACTGGATTTCTTTTGCTAGTTTCATAGTTTTATTCTCTGTATTAATGATATTCGAATGAATTGGCATCAAAAATGACTCAAAAACTATTCTACAAGTAACAATAGTGCTTCCTTATATTCTTTGAATTTTTGTTGCATTTTAAAACATAGAAACTTTTAACATAATGTCAATTACTTATGTTAAATTACTTTTGAAAAGTAAGATACTAGTTGTCAAAAAATGCTAACTGGCCAATGTTAAAAAACCTAACTGTAGACATTTAAATGCCTCCCAAGTGCACCTTAGCCTGCTGTAAGGATATAACCATATCATAGTCATCTGTGTTCCCCCAAGTAGTTTAACCTTGCAACTGGTACTAAAGGACCCCCAGTAATTCACACTTTGTTTTACCGAGGAAAGCATTGTTTATCCAAAAAACTATAATGTACAAATTTTATTGATTTGTCATAGAATATTTTATATCTATTTTATAATTTATCACTCTAACATAGAAAACCAAATTTTTTCATGGAACATATTTGACAATAATACATAAATACTTGAAATTGGAAAAAATAGGATCCCACTCAACTCTAAAGTTGGTATCTTTAAAATAACAAAAATGATAGTTATATTTTTCTTTAATTAATGAAGATTTCACCTGCTTATTTCTGTCTATAACATAGAAAATCTTTCTAATGCTTCCTCCAGATAGATTTTTCTTAATTTTTTTTTAACATCCAAGATCTCTGGAAGAATTTTAGAGCAATTTTTGTACTTCTTCCCAAAGAAAATTAACAGAGGCATGTAATATTTTATATACAACTTCAGGGTGCAATTTAGTCTTCAGTAGCTTATCCACAGACCTTCGAGAAACCCACAGGGTTCATGTTAAGACCTTGTCCTAGATGGTTGCTTCAGTTTCTCAACTGTAACCTTCAACCCACCTGAGCCTTCTCTCTCCAGGTAGGGATCTGTGCTCCAGATTCAGCTGTCATTCTGCTAAGATCCAACCTTTATTTGTTTCAGTCTTTAAGGTCAAGATGACGTTCTGAAATGTCTTATGGTTTAATAAATTATGGAAACTTAAATGGAGGTCCTTATCAGACACCATGATTATTGTTTAACAGGGTTTGTGTGTGTGTGTGTGTGTGTGTGTGTGTGTGTGTGTGTGTGTGTGTGTGTGTGTGTGTTTATACCTGAACACAAAGAAAGTAAAAAATTGCTCTGTTACCGATTAGGGAGGAGAATAATTTCAGTAAGGCTATCCTGGCATAGCAAACATTTTCAATCCAGAGAGGGGGCAGAAGAGACATACTATTGGGAAGGAAAAAAAATACTAGGATGAGGGGAATGCGGAGATGTCTGGAGAAACCTAGAATCTATAAACTTATCCACCACCAAATGGTTGTTCTCTTCCATGACAACAGTTGCTACTTTACATAACTACACTATTATGATTGTTAAAGCTGTCCAATAGTTTACCAATGCCAAAACATTATACCTTATTAATTATTCAGTTTTCCACAATGCCTGGTACAGTTAAATACAGCAACTTCCACATTTGAACAGAAGAAGTAAACATTCATTCACTAGTCATTTTGGCTAAGGATTTTCACTGTTTTGGTGGGGAATTCACTATGAAATTTCTTAGGTCGATAGAAAAAATGTCTTAAAGGAAGTTTAATTGAATGTGAAGGATATTTGCCCATGGATTTCATATTTTGAGGTGAAATTTCAAAGCTGTATGTGCCAACCATTTTCAAATGACTTTTATATGCTAAAAGTGCTATAACGAAACATCTCACAAATATTAAACATTCCATGTAATATATTTATCAAGGGGCTTATGACCAAATCAGGTCCAACTTTGGACTTTTGTTTATATTTTAGTATGCAAAGCATAAAGGAGAGCACATTGAATCAAGAATCAATTTGGGCCAGACTCAGTGACTCAGGCTGTAATCCCAGCATTTGGGAGGCCTGAGCCTGAGGGCTCAAGATCAGCCCTGGCAGCTTGGTGAGACCTCGTCTCTACAATAAATCAAAAGAAATTAGCTGGGCGTGGTGGCGAGTGCCTGTAGTTACGGCTACCTGGAAGGTTGAGGTGGAAGGATCACTGGAGCCCAGCAGATCAATGCTGGGGTGGCCGTGAGTGTGCCACTGCCCTCCAGCCTGGACAATGGAGTGAGATTCCAACTCAAAAACAACAACAACAAAAAAGAATCAATTTGAATTCTAGGTAACAAAGAGAAAACTTAATCACATGCCTAGTCTTCCTTATATATAAATTTAATTTTTAACAATGTGATAAGAGCTGTGTTATAAACTGAAGGACAAAAGTCTGAATAACTTTTGGAAAGATGCGAAAGGTAAGAGACTGTAGAGGGATCAAAAGACAAGAATCCTTTATATTCTGTTTTTCCTCGAATTTCTCTTTTAAGCAATATTTGCTCTTGCTAATCTTATCTTGGCATAGAGTTAAAATGTTTTAACCTACTAGATACAGAAGAATCAAAGGCAAAGAATGTTTCTGTAAGTTAAAAATCACCTTTGTATTGCACTTACAGGCCATTAAAAAGCATGATCTTTATTTGCGTTCCATTGTGGTGCTGTGAGCTCTGCCCTGCAGTTCACAAACTAGCTTTGTGTCGCCGTGATCCAATTCTCTTTCAACGACATTGCACTAAGCCCAAGTTGCTCAGAACATGACTTTTCACCAACTGGGCATTGACTGAATGAATTGAATTTTTAAAATATTTTAAAAATAAAACGTGAATGAAACTTCTGGGTGGTGTTACCGTGTCAAATCAAAGAACGGAGCAATCTGTCATCACAGGTTGAATTCAACTCTTTTAATTACAGCCTGAAGTATCCCACTCCATTCTGAGAATGATTTTCTGTCATCTAGCTGCTCCTGAGAGATACTCTAGAAGATATGATCCTACACTTGACTTTGAAACTCTGCCTCTTGCTTATCACAGTCTCCTCCAACCTTGCCATCGCAATAAAAAAGGAAAAGAGACCTCCTCAGACACTCTCAAGAGGTGCCGTAATCTCATTTTATTTTGTAAACTCGGTCATTTGGGTTGATTTGAAAACATTGAGTACCTTCACTCATAGTCTAGTTATAAAGCAAAACCAATTAACTGGAAGATTTGGGTTGTGTATGACTTCAAAACAGATTTTTTTTTAATTAGAAGGGATCAGTTGTTTTTTGGCAGTGACTCCAACCAGTGCCAAACAATAACAATACTTTGCCACATTGTTTACAGAATTAGTTTGCCTGTCTGTAACTTCAGTAACCGGAGTCCTAGAAAATAATGATTGGTTACTATGCTGTATTGGTATCCTAAAAGCAATTTAGGATTCCTCAAAATTTGCACAAATTTCCAGTCTTCTATTTAGCAAGGCAAGAAAATAATTTGGAATTATTTTATTCAAGGCTACCCAGATAATTATACTGTATCCCACCCCCTGAGAATTTTGGCTAACCAAGTCCTTGTTATATTGACTCTAAAAGATAGATACAGTGGTTTTAGATATCATAATTGGAACTGTCATTTAGAATTCATAATCTAGAACATGTTTATAAAACATTTGTATTTTTGTACTCAGTGTTTTACTTTGGTCTAAGAACAAAATATATCTTCATCTGTGAAGAAACATTTTATAAAGAAAAAAATTCTCAAAATTGGTTTGTACATCTCCAAGTCACAGAAATAAGAACAGAATCATTTGTCTCCACTTGTTTATTCAAAATTAGCAGCATTACCATAAAGCACTTGACCACTATTTAGAGTGGAGGTGTGAATGAGTCAACAAATGGAGACTCATTTAGTATAATTTCAAGTTCCAAAACATTTGACTTCCTTTCCAAGTACTCTCATTTCTTAATAGATGTATTGAGTGCCAGCCTAGCACCCATCAATGTTTACCTAAGTCAATAAATTCTACTTCATTTGATTAGCAATCATACAAGCTATATATCTAGAAGGTCAATACATTTTTAGAAAAGAAATAAATTAAAAGAAGAAAAACAGGAGAAATGTTTTCCTAAATATAATTAGCTCTCTATGGAGGCATAATAGTTATAAAGCAACGAGTCCAGTAGTCTTAGAGTGTCAAAGACTAAACTAATCATTGCCCTTAAAGACCTCTGGGTATGTGTTAAGCAGCATTACTATTACTAGACCGCAGACATCAATATTCTGGGTGTTTACTTTTAAATGTTTATTTAAAACTTCTTGTGAATTTTATGAAAGATATATCGAATATGTATGCCATATTTTAAACAACCTAATGGTCTGCTCTTTTAGTTAATAAGGAACTATTTTAATAGGGAAGATGACTGGTATAAGCTGAGAACCCCCACTGTTTTTCTTCTTTTGGCTGAAGTCTTGCTCTGTTGCCCCAGTTGGAGTGCAGTGACACGCTCATGGCCACTGTAGCCTCAGCCTGCTGGGCTCGGGTGAATCCTTCCAAGTAGCTGGAACCACAGGCATGCGCCACTATGCCCGGCTAATTTTTTTGACTTATTGTAGAGACAAGGTCTCATCAAGTTGCCCAGGCTGGTCTCAACCCCCTGGACTCAGGTGATCCTCTCACCTCCACCTCCCAAATTGCTGGGATTATAGGTGTGAGTCACCACACCTGGCTGACAACCCCATTATTAAGAGTTGGTTTATATTTGGTTAAGCCTTTTACCATCTGTCTCTATGTGGGAAACAATTGAGAGAAGAAGGCATAGAACAAATTAGGATTAAAGGGAGGAGTGAGAGGGAGGAATTTGGTACAGTATACAGAGTAGTGTGTGGAGTCCCTTAGGGCAGAGGACAGCACCACACAGGTAAGTAGAGAGGGTAGTAAAGAGAAAAGGGAAGATTAAATAGAAAATGGTAATAGATGGTGAAGAAAACACACACACACACACGCATGCACACACGCATGCACACACACACACACAAGAGTGATCCAAAAAATCCTAACTCCCGTTGAATCAGACATACTTTCCAGTACCCAGTCCAGTGCCTGGCATATGGTTGGTATTCGATAACTACATGTTAAATGAATGAGTAAAATCTCAAAATATAAGAAAACATTGCCAGAGACAGAGTTAAAAGTTTAATAGTGAACAGAGGCCTTGAAGAGACTCTAAACTCTACCAGCTTTGACCTACTGTGATTAAAAGCTAGAATATATATTTTAAAAATTATAATGCAATATAGCTCCCCCACAGGGCTATGAATAATTTTTTTGAGAATAGGGATTATAACGCTTGTCCTTTACATTCACACTGCTTAGGAAGGAAAGTCATTTACCATATCTTCTGGTGCTGTTTGTGGCACTAAGTTGAACAGGAGCAGAGAATATGTTTTCCCGTAGCAAAAACTCCAGCTGAATGATATTTGCAAAAAAACAGGAAAAATTATGCAGAGGCCTAATCTCACTGGCTGTTTCTAGAAAAACTTTTATTTAATGTAAAATATGGTGTAAAGATACTCCACATTTTCAAGCAAAATTGGACAGAGACTCTTACAGAGAACAAGAGTTCCTGCCGAGGTGTGGCATGAAGCTAACAAAAGATGCCTTCCAATGTTAAGATTTCAAATTAAGCAAAAACAAAACCACAATGTTACTGGTAAGAATGTAACATGATGCAGTGACTTTAGAAAACAATCTGGCAGAAAACAATCTTAACTTTTTTCCTCAAAAAGTTAAGTATAGAGTTACCGTTTGAATCAGCAATTCCAGTCCTAGGTTTACACCTAAGAGAAAGGAAAATACATACTCATGCAAAAATTCATACACACACGTTCATAGCAGCATTAGTTATAAAAGCCAAGAAATGGAAACAACCCAAATATCCTTCAACTGATAAATAGATAAATAAAATGTGGAATAACATACAATGGAGTAATATTTGACCATAAAAAGAACTTAAATACTAATACATGCCACTATAGGGACAAACCTTTAAAAATGTTATGTCAATTGAAAGAATATAGTCACAAAAGCATACATATTGCATGATTCCATTTATATAAAATGTCCAGAATAGGTAAATCTATACAGACAGAAAGAAGATCTTGGGGGCTGTGGAACATGGAGGGGGATTGGGCAGGAGGTAATAACTAAAGAGTATATGGTTACTTTTTGAGGTGATAAAAAGTTATAAAATTATAATGACTGTAATGACTGTTGCACAACTCAATATAATTTAAGAAAGTACATACTTTCAATGGGCGAGTTGTATTGGTATATGAATTATATTTCAATAAAGTTCTCACTAAAAAAAAAAACAGCAAGCAAAAATCATTAAATCATGTTTATTTTGCTTCATAATTCCACTTCATAATTCCTGGCTATAACTACCTATGACATCTAAGTCAAAAACTGCAGTGTGACAACATTTGAAACATACAAGAAAATTTGGGTCCAAACTAACCTCCAAATGTTCACATTAATTTAGTCTTTCTCATCCATAGACTGAGACATTTCCTAAAGATACTCTGTAGTATTTCTAGAGGTTTGTGCATTCTTCTTCTTGATGATTTTATTCCTTAATCACTAGCACACATTCCCAACTACTCATACCACCTCATTAAGGCCATTGAGTTCTCTCTCTACTCATGACTTTCTGTTTTTTCTCTCCTTCCCTCTTTTGGTTGTTACTAAAACACATGTCTCACTGTATTCGTTAACCATAAAATTCCCACACCAGAAATTTTTCCATGTCAGAATTCAAAGCAAAATTTGGAGTTCTCTTTTTTTCACATGTATATTGACTTAGGAAAGGTCAGCAACTCTTGGCACTCAATAAACAAGGGCACTGTGGTGTATAGTTTTACAAAGTATGCAAAAATTGTTATTTTTTGAACATTCTGAAAGCCAGAGCTTTTGCATTTTGCAGAGATATCCTTTTACTCACTGCTAATAATAACAGCAATTATTAGCACTTACTAGGTTTAAGGTCTTGGGTTTGAGGTTTGAAATACAGTCACAAAGTCTCAGTATCACAACCTAAAAGGATATCCCCTATTTATATCTACTTAAAAATTGTTATCCTCTATACTATACTATATATCAGTCAACAGCTTGGCTGTTGAATATCTATAGGTAGATACTGGTTTAAATATATGTAGGTAGATATCTATTTCAATATCTGTAGGTAGTTATTGGTTTCAATATCTGTAGGTAGATATCAGTTTCAATATCTGCAGGTAGATATCTGTTTCAATATCTGCAGGCAAAGATCAGTTTCAATATCTGTAGGTAGATATTGGTTTCAATATCTGTAGGTAGATATCAGTTTCGATATCTGTAGGTAGATATCTACTTAAATATCTGTAGGAAGATATTGGTTTCAATATCTGTCAGTAGATATCTGCTTATCAGATTCCCATTTCAGGGCTCTTCTGTAGTCCTAGATTAATGCATTGATTTATCTCTTCTATTGCAGGATGGGGAGATGACATCACTTGGGTGCAAACTTATGAAGAAGGTCTCTTTCTTGCTCAAAAAAGGTAACATGCCTCTCAGTTAAGTTTTCTTTTCCTTTTTAGTTCACGTGTAATAATTGTATATATTTATGGGATATAGAGTAATATTTCTATACAATATATAATAATCAAGTCAGGGTAATTAGCATGCCCATCACCTCGAAGATTTGCCATTTCTTTGTATTGAGAATACTTGAAATCTGTTGTTCTAGCTTTTTAAAAAATATACAATAAATTATCGCTAACTATAGTAACCCTACAGTGGAATACCAGAACTTATTCCTCTTATCTAGCTGTAATTTTATATCCATGAACCAACCTTATTCTAGACCCACTACCCTTGCCAGCCTCTAATTACCATAATTCTACTCTCTACTTCTACGAGTTCAACTGTTTTTAGTTCCCAAATATGAGTAAGAACATATGGTATTTGGTATTTATCTTTCTATGTCTGACGTATTAACACAATATTCTCCAGGATAATGCATGTTATGGTAAATGACAGGATTTTATTCTTTTTTTTTTTTTCTTTTAGTCAGAGTCTCACTCATTCCGTTGCTCAGGTTGGAGTGCAATGGCATGGTCATGGCTACCAGAGCCTCGACCTCCTGGGCTCAGGCGATTCTTCCTCCTCATACTTCCAAGTAGCTGGGACTACAGGTGTGCACCACCATGCCCAGCTAATTTTTTTTTTGAGTCTGAGTCTCACTCTGTCACCCAGGCTGAAGTGCAGTGGCATGATGATGACAATCATGGCTCATGACAGCCTTGACCTCCCAGACTCAGGCAATTCTTCCACTTCAGCATTCCAAGTAGCTGGGACTATAGGCACATGCCAGCATGCCTGGCTAATATTTTAAATTTTTGTGGAGACAAGGTTTTGCTATGTTGCCCAGTCTGGTCTCAAACTCCTGGGTTCAAACAATCTTCCTACCTTGGCCTCCCAAAGTCCTATGATTATAAATGTGAGCCACCATGCCCAGCCTCATTTGTATGTCTTTTTATTTATTTTACTTTATATTATATTTTATTTTATTTATTTTTGAGTTGGAATCTCACTCTGTTGCCCAGGTTGGAGTGCAGGGGCACGCTCTTGGTCACTGCAGCCTTGGCCTGCTGGGTTCAGGCGATCCTTTTGCCTCAGCCTTCCAAGTAGCTGGAACTACAGGCATGTACCACCACACCCAGCTAATTTTTTGATTTGCTCTAGAGATGAGGTCTCGCCAAGTTGCCCAGGCTGGTCTCAAACCTGTGGGCTCAGGCAATCCTCTCACCTCGGCCTCCCAAAGTGCTGGGATTATAGGGATGAGCCACTGCGCCTGGCCATTTGCATGTCTTTTTCTAAAAAAAATGTCTGTTCAGATCTTTTGCCCGTTTTTAAATCAGACTATTATTTGGGGTTTTTATTAAGTTATTTGACATGCTTGTATGATCTGGATATCAGTCCCTTGTTAGATGAATAGTTTGCCAATATTTTCTCCCATTCCACATATTGTGTCTTCACTCTGTTGATTGTTTGCTTTGCTGCATGGACACTTTTTAGTTCCCTTGGTCTATTTTTGGTTTTGTTGCCTGTGCTTTTGAAGTTTTAGACAAAAAATCTTTGTCTAATGTCCTGAAGTATGCCCTTATATTTTCTTTTAGTAGTTGTATTGTTTCAGGTCTTGTGTTTCAGTCTCTAATTCATTTCTGGTTGGTTTTTATATATGATGAGAGATAGGGGTCTAGTTTCATTCTTCTGCATATAGATATTCAGTTTCCCTAGTATCATTTATTGAAGAAACTGTCCTTTGCCCAATGTATGTTCTTGGTACCATTGTTGAAAATCAAGTTGGCAGATTTATTTTTGAGTTCTCTATTCTGTTCTATTGGTCCATATGTCTGTTTTCATCCCAATGCCATGCTGTTTTAGTGACTATAGCTTTGTAGTATATTTTGAGGTTGGATAATGTGATGCCTCCAGCTTTGTTCTTCTTGCTGAATATTACTTTAGCTATTTAGATTCTTTTGTGATTCATACAAATTTTAGGAGTGTTTTCTCTATTTCTGTGAAGAATATCATTGGTATTTTGATAAAGATTGCATTAAATCTGTAGGTTGCTTTGGTGAGTATGGTCATTTTAACAATATTAATGCTTTTCATCCATGAGCATAGGCTGTCCTTCCATTTTTGTGTGTGTCCTCTTCAATTTCTTTCATCAGTGTTTTGTACTGCTCATTGTAGAAATCTTTCACCTCTTTTGTTAAATTAATTCCTAAGTATTTTTTGTTGTTGTTGTAAATGAGATTGACTTTTAAATCTTTTTTTCAGCTAGTTTGTTATTGATGTATAGAAACAATACTGATCTTCTGTATATTGGTTGTGTATCCTATACTCTCAGTTAATTTTAACAGATCATTTATATACCTTCTAAACAAACAAACAAAAAACTGAGATGTTCGTGTTTAAAAGGATACTATAAGCATTTGCTCTGCTAGTGTATGCTGCTTGGACTAATAGTTGCTATTTATAAGTTTTTTTAAAAAATAACCAATAGCTGTAAATCCTTTAGTGTTTAATTTTTTCATAATTCAAGTAAGCTTTTAAATAAAAGTTGTATACACAAAATAGTATCACTCATTAGGCATTATATAAGCTTTAATAGAAAACTGGTTTAGAATAGCAATTATTAAACTTGTCTGATCATTAGAACAATTTGAGGCATTTAAAAAAAAAAATCTATGTGTATAGTTGATCAGTCAAGTACTTACTGAGTGTCAATTGCTATGTGTAAGACACTGTCCTAGGCTCAGTGATCATGCATAACACAATTTTTTTATCCATAGACACCTACTAAATCTTGAAGGATGGAACTGAGAAACTTATATTTTTAAGAGCATCCCAAGAATTTATAAACTATCTAAAAAACATTCAAATACAATATTGTATAAAGAGGAAAAAAGATTCTCAACTTAAATGAGATTGAATAAATGACTGTCTCAAAACAAAAGAAAGAAGTCTACAAAGTAATCTCATTTCCAAATATGAATGTAACAAGTGAACAAGATATTAGCAAAGAGCAGCCAACAGAATATTTAAAGAATACACCCTGATAAAGCAGAATTTGGTCTGAAAATGCCAGGATAATTCAAGATTAAGAAATCTACTAATTAAAATAATTTAATATTTATAAGAAAACAATCCAAACAGGTATATCTTATTTATATAAATGTTGAAAAGACATTTACTAGAATAAAACATCTATGTTTAAATTTTTTTAAATAAATTTGTATTTGACAATACTTATTTAAATTGAACCTAACAAAAAAATAGCCATTCTGGCAAAAATAAATAAATAAATAAAATTAATTTTAAAAAGCCAAAATTATGCTTACTGGAAAAACAAAATCTTAGCTAGACATGAGAAATAAGTTCAAGAGATCTATTGTACATGATGGTGATGATAGTTAATTTTTTTTTTTTTTTTTTTGAGTTGGAGTCTCACTCTGTCACCCAGACTGGAGTGCAGTGGCCACTCCCGGCCACCACAGTCTCGACCTGCTGGGCTCCGGCGATCCTTCTGCCTCAGCCTTCCAAGTAGCTGGAACTACAGGCGTGCACTACCACACCCGGCTGATTTTTGATTTGTTGTAGAGATGAGGTCTCGCCAAGTTGCCCAGGCGGGTCTTGAACTCGCAGACTCAGGCAATCCACTCACCTCAGCCCCCCAAAGGCACGGGATTACAGGCTGAGCCACCGAGCCTGGCTGGTGATGATAGTTAAAACAGTATATTATATACTTGAAATTGCTGAGAGTAGATTTTAAATGTTCTCATCATAGAAAAATAAGTATTTGCGGAAGAACATATGTTAAATAGCTTTATATAGACGTATCACAAAGCACACATATATTAAAACAATATATTGTATAACCATAAATATATATAATTTCTACACGTCAAATAAATATATGAATGCTACAAGAATTTTTTTTATATGAAGTGGTATTTCAAATCGGGGTAGAAGTGATAGATTGTATCATAATTAATGTTACAGAGAAGTTAGTAGCCATCTGAGAAAAACAAATCAGTGTGGTTTCATAATTCACATTTATACTGAAATAAATTAAAAAGATGGCTGTAATCCCAGCACATAGGAGGTCGAGACAGGAAGATCACTTGATCCCAGGAGTTTGAGACCAGCTTGAGTAACACAGCTAGACTTCATCTCTACAAAAAATTAAAAACTTAGCCAGGCATGGTGATGCACCCTGTCGTCCCAACTATTGGGGAAGATGAGAGACAAGAGGATTGCCTGATCTCAGGAGGTTGAGGCTGCAGTGAGCCATGACTGTGCCACTCCACTCTAGCTTGGGCAAGAGTGAGACCTTGACTCTACATAAATAAACAAACATACTACTGCAAAATTTCATTTCTTTAATTCTTGGAGGATGAGAGACCTGGGATTAGAGTGAGGCAAGAGTGGTACTTAGGATGCAAAAATAAAGCCCATAGAGCAGAGTGCAGCAGTGAGTACCTGCAGTTGCTGAGATGGGAGTATCGGTAGCTCAAGCCCAGGAGGTCTAAGACCAGCCTGGACAACACCGCAAGACCTTGTCTCTTATAAAACTAAAATACAATATAAATAAATTAATTAACTTCAATAAATATTGCCCTTCACTTTTGCACGTTAGGCTTAAAAATGGCCATAAAAAGAAAAAAAGAAAGAAAAAACCTGAAAGAAACGACTACTATTTTTATGACATAATTTTCTGCATAAGCCAAAACTTGCTATAAGCAAGGGAAAGAGACAAAACAAAACAAATGGAGAACTACAGCAGACATCACAAGGGTGACTATCTCCAAAGTGCTCCTATAGCTTCATAAGAAAAAGGTCAAGTCAATAGAAAAAAATGAACAAAGGATATGATAATTCACAGAATAGAAAAATAAAAAAACAAACATTGGAGTAAGGTTGACTCTTTATATGAAAATAGAATCACATTAATATCCTCTTTTTACCTATTAATTTAAAAAATTTAAAAAGGATAACAATTGTTAGTAAGAGGAAACAGTTATCTCTCACATTACCAGAGAGAATACAAACGGTTGCAGTGTCTATGCAGGGCATTTTTCAAAATCATACATGTATACACTAATCAACCCAGAAATTCTACTTCTGAAAATTTATTCATAAATATGCCCACCCATGTGCAAAATCATTTATAAAGAACAGCTTGTCTGCCAAATAAATGTTTGTACAAATGTCAATGTTTAGAAACAATCTCAACACAAGAGATTAGAAATAATTTAAATGCTCATCTTTGTGAGGTAGAGGGAAATAATTAAATAAAAGATATCCATATAATGGAATATTATACAGAACAGTGAAATGCTAAGATGTATGTTATATGAAAAAGCAAACGCAAATACCTACACATTTGCATTTTTTAATTTTGTTTATTTATTTTATAATTTTTTTATTTTAAAAATGTGGGGTACAATTCAGTGTTAGGTATACAAATGTTCATTATGCAGGTACACTGGCTGATGAGGTGTGCCCCTCCCTACCCTGGCAGTTTCCCTCTACTGTCAATCCGCCCTCCCAGCAGTTTCCCACTACTGCCAATCCTTTTCTTATAGTATTATGACAATTGTTCAAGGTCTGCTTATGAGTGAGAACATGTGATACTCAATTCTTTGTTTCTGTGATATATCACCCAGTATTATAGACTTTAAGTCCATCCAAGTTGCTACAAAGTTCATAATTTTGTCCTTCTTTGTGGCTGTGTAATATTCTATCATGTATATGTACCACGTTTTTTTAAAAAAATCCAGTCCTCTTTCGATGGGCAGCACAGTTGGTTCCATGTTGTTGCTAGTGTGAACAATGCTGCAATAAATATGTATGTGCAGGTATGTTTTTCATAGAGCGATCTGAGTTCCTCCGGGTATATTGTCAGTGGGGACATTGCGGGGTTGGGTTGTATGGAAGGTCAATTTTTAGATTTTTTAGGAATTGCCAAACTGTTTTCCACAGAGGCTGTACTAGTTTACACTTCCACCAATAGTGTAGAGGTGTTCCCTTTTCCCCACATCCTCTCAGCATCTGTTGTGTTTTGAGTTATTGATGATGGCCAGCCTGACTGGAGTTAGGTGGAGTATTTGCATTTTTAAAAAAGAAAGGAATATATACATAGACATATACACATATAATACATATACATATTTGTATAAATACACATATTCAGGTACATGACCTGAAACACACAGAAGGAGACGTAAGAGATAGTTGTACTGCTTACTTTCAGAAGGTGGCAATGGAAAGAATAATTTTGGGGGAGGATGTGTGGACACAACATCAATAAGGGTACCTGATCTCAAACCAGGCAAAGCGAGGACCAAAGGGAGGCCCAAACTTTACCTGTACGATGTCCATTTGTGTACTTAATCCTGATGCACCCACATCTTTACAATAAAATATATAAATATTAAAAAAGAATAATCTTTATTTTTTTAATTTTTGAATTTTAAACCAGCTGAATGGGTACCTAATTAAAAAAAAAAAAAGTTACAGAATTTGAAAAGCTAATTCACCAAATGAAACTAAGCAATCAGGTTTTTACAGACCCCGATTTTAGAGAAACTCAAAAGCACAGCTACCAAGAACTATTCTTCCTCTCAGTTCACGTTTCTCACAGTCAGAACTGTTTAGTTCATGGGGTTTTAGACAGGGGACCACCCATTTTTACACAGTGTGCAAGCTATGAATTATTTTTCCATTTTTTAATTCTTGCAAAAAACCAAAGAATTGTATTTTGTGACATGTGAAAATTACGTGAAATTCACATTTCAGTGGCCATAAAGTCTTACTGCAACACAACCACCCTTACTTTCTTACATAGTCCCTATATCTGCTTCTGCATGAGAATAACAGAGGTGAGTATTTGCACAGGAGACGAGACAGCTGGCAAAACTTCAAATATTTACTGTCTGCCCTGACTGAAAATACTTCTGGGGCCCTGTTCTAGACTGTCCCTCCTTCAATTTCTATAAAAATTACTCCTGTGTTCTGAAATGAAGCAGTGTCTTGATTTGAGTGTATGAACAGCTCATTCATAGCTGAACTGTTAAGAGTGGGCCTTCCATGTTCTTGATAAAATTTTTCTTGGACTCTGAAGACCTGGAAATCTGATAGTGCTGTTAGTTTTCCAAGAGTTCCTAAAATCTCTTTCCCTCTACATGGCTGTCCTTGTTTCCAGCTGTTATGTAGGTGCTGGGTAGAAAAAGTAGCAGTTTAGGAAATCAAAATGATTCACAAGCCTAACTCAGTGTTTGTCTCAGGATGCCTGTACCTACTACTTAAGATCCACCAGAGGGAGAGTTATCTGACAGAAAAAATATGGGGTTGATGCTTAGAAGATGTGAGTTCTGGGCCCTCTCTAAAAAACATCAATAAGTATTCTTAGGCTTGGTTTCCTACTAATAAAAAATGGAAATGACATTTCATTCATTGAATCACTAGTCTGCTTTTTCATAAATTGGAAGTTGTTGGAAGATGCTAGCTTTTAACTGCAGCTTAAATCTTAAAAGGTAAGTTGTAGAAATTATTCTTACCCCAAATCTTCTCATATTCCAAGCTTGAGTATTAAATAAAATCATTAACAATTCCAGGTCTGTATTAACACTTATTTGGTACAGATAGAGTTCTAAATTAACAGATATTTAATATGATTATTTCTGCTCATTGCTTTTGAAAAGGCGCTATACTGAATAAGTATACAAAGGGTCTATCTGCTTTGATATTCACAATCCACTCAGGAATTAAGCAACATTTTACAAATCAGTCTATATATCCAAATGATAATACTTTTATTCTTCACTATACTTAAGATTCTAATTTTTCTCTTAAAGAGAGAAAATCAAAATGACCCTGAACAATGCATTAATAAGGGACTCTCACATAGGTTGTTGGTAATTCTGCAATGCACAAGAATGAGATGATAGGAACATAGTCAAACATTAATAGTTTTTTATAAAACCCTTTATTAAAACTAAATGAAAACCTTTGGCTCTCCTGAAATCTGATGCCAAGTGTTCACTGGAAATTAATTTAATGTTGATAATAATATTCCTTCATCTCTGAAGACAGAAATTGTATTGATCTAATTGCACTAAGGTGTACATGAGAATCATCTGAGAAGCTTGTGAAGCTAGATTTCTGAACCCCATCCCAGAGATTCTGATTGAGTGGGTTCAGGATGGAAACTTTGAATTCCATTTCTAATAAGCTACCGGGTCATGCTAATGCTGTCAGTTCTGGGGCTGCATGTTGAATAACTCTGTTATCGACTTCAGTGCTATGATTTGTAAATCTGAGATTTTTACTTTAAGTCTTGTTAAAGCTATTAAAACTTTAAACCTAATTCCACTGTGAGTTTTGACTCAGAGTTAATCACTTGACTAATTCCACACTTGCTTTGTTTAGTAAGAAGCCATTGATGGTTATTCACCATTTGGAGGACTGTCAATACTGCCAAGGTAATTTTAGCTCCTGAGATCTTATTATATTTCAAATATGAAATAGAAAAAGTAACCGGGTAAGAATAGTTAAGAAGGCACTCAGCAAATCCCATTTAAAAACAAACAGGGCTGGGTGTGTGGCTCACAACTGTAATCCCTGTAATTTGGGAGGCCAAGGCAGAAGGATTACTTGAACCCAGGAGTTCAAGACCAGCCTGGGAAAAATAATGAGACCTTATCTCAACAAAAAATGAAAAATTTTTAAAAGTAGCCGGACATGATGGTATATGGCTATAGTCCCAGCTACTTGGGAAACTGAGGTGGACGGATCACATGAGCCCACAAGGAATGCCACTGCACTCCAGCCTGGATGACAAAGTGAGAACCCGACTCAAAGGCGACAACAGCAACCCCCCCACACACACACACACACAAAACTTCCAGAGTACCCACATTTTACTTAAAAACTTACCCACATTTTACTTTAAAAGTGCTTAAAAACTAAATGGTTGTTAGTGACCTACTGAATTTAATTCTATTATATGAATATGCCCTTCAGAATGTAATATTCTTCTTCTTCCTACAAAAGAAAAGGGGGGCGGTGGAATGGAGAAGATGGGCAAACACTGAAAGAATAAGTTGTTTTATTTAGCCGATGAGTTGATGAGTTACATGATATTATAAAACCAATGTCCTCATTACGTGACTATCTCTGATATCTCCATGGAAGAACTGTTCCCCACTTCTTCCCAGTGAAAGACACAGTGGCAATAAGCAATGAACTGTTTACACCCAAGCTATAGATGCAAAACACGAGCTTCATTTTGCCATGTTACAGTGAAGACATCTTGATTCTTAAAGCTAACTGATATTGTGTTTCCCCCCACAGCACTAAAAAAAGCATTTGTCCAAAATGATGAAATACAAGAAATGGCTCAGAATAATTTCATCATGCTGAATCTCATGGTACATGAACTCTAAAATGTTTTCTTAACTTCATGAAAAATTTGAGTCCTTTTCTTCTTCCTTCAATCTTTAAAAAACAAGGAGCAAAGTGGTGCTTGATATAGAAAATTATATAGAATTGTAAAGGTCCAAGATAGACAATTTACTGACAATCTAGTTCACATAAAATAATTTTAAAATTAACTATGAAAAAAATCCAATTCAATAATCTAATAACGTCCATGTTTTTCTTCTCTGATAGCATGAGACCACTGACAAAAATTTATCACCTGATGGGCAGTATGTGCCTAGGATCATGTTTGTGGGTATGTGCATGATCTTAATTCATCAGATATACAAAAATTAACAGAATTCAGCATTTTTGCTTGTATTTGTCTTAATATGCCAGTTCAAGTACTATTCTTTTTAAAGAGCAGTCATTTCTAACTCAGTCCATATCAGCTCTTGTTAGTTCTACCATCAAAATTCACTATTATTTGTGAATTTTGCATATTTTTTAAAAGTAACTTATGTGATTAAATTAATATCCCAATGTACTTTCAGTACAGTGCCCCCAACTGGATTGACAGAAATCCATAGGTCCCTTCCCAGCAACTTGGATGGAGTTAGAGTCTGTCACACTCAGTGATCTATCACAGAAACAAAGAACAGAGTACCACATGTTCTCACTCAAAAGCAGACCCTGAACAATTACCATAATACTATGAGAAAGGGATTGGCAGTAGTGAGATACGGTGGGGTTGGGGAGGGGACACAACATCAATAAGTGTACCTGATCTCAAACCAGGCAATGTGGGGACCAAAGAGAGGCCCAAACTTTACCTGTATGATGACCAGTTGTATACCTTATCCTGAATTGTACTCCACATCTTTAAAATAAAAATTTTAAAAAAAGAAATCCATAGGTCCCCACTAAAAGAAGAATTCAGATTAATTCATCATGGACTCACATACATAAAAATTAATTTTGCTTGACATTTATTTTAGAGTAAGAGGCTAAAATGATTTAAGAACATGCTAAATAATACTTTAGTGATGTATTTTTTGTTTGTTTGTTTTTCCCTTGGCAGATCCTTCTTTAACAGTCAGAGCTGATATCACTGGAAGGTACTCGAATAGATTATACACATATGAGCCTCAGGATTTACCAGTATGTGAGTGTTCTTAAGTTATCTTAAACAACGGTTACTGAGATAACAGCAATAAAGAATACAGTGAATGAAATAAATAACAAACTGATAATCATGGACAGCAAAATTAACAAAGCAGAAGAAAGAATAAAAAACAATAACAAAACAAAATAACAGCGGTCATAGCTGACCCATATCTGCTTGTTAAAAAGCTGGTGATGCCATATATTATAGATATAACATTTAATATGCATATATCACATATATATTGCACAAGCAATGCTATCTAGAAACCAGAAGCAATGAGGTTGGTGATAGTATTTAAAAATGCAAACTCCTAGGTCTTTTCCACATCAGGAATTTTGGTGCAACTCAGAATCTGTTTTAACAGGTTTATCCAAGGGTTCTTAGTATGACTAGATTGAGAGATCCCTGAAAAGAATACACTAAAAGGGCACATGCATAAGGGAGACAAGTCATTCTCCTGGCATCGAAGATCATGTCTGATTTTTTTTTTGAGTTGGAGTCTCACTCTGTCACCCAGACTGGAGTGCAATGGCCGCTCCCGGCCACCGCAGCCTCGACCTGCTGGACTCCGGCAATCCTTCCGCCTCAGCTTTCCAAATAGCTGGAACTACAGGCGCGCGCTACCACGCCCGGCTAATTTTTTGATTTTATTGTAGAGATGAGGTCTCGCCTGCCCAGGCGGGTCTCGAACCCATGGGCTCGGGCAATCCACTCATCTCGGCCTCCCAAAGTGCTGGGATTACAGGCTGAGCCACCGAGCCCAGCCCATGTGTGATTTTTAAAAACATTTTATTATCATCTTCTTTTAATGCCTATAAGCAAGGAAGTACAGTCATACTTAGGGTTCTAATCTATTCTTTTTTTTTTTTTAATCTAATCTATTCTTTACAACATTCACTATCAACTATATTTAATAAGACAACTATGTTATTGTATTAATTGTATCAATTGTTATTGTGTTAATATCTAGGAATACTGATACACAGTTATCAGTTCAAAAAATAGATACTTCCTCAAGACACTTCTGACAAAATTGTTTAACATAATGAGAATTAACCAACTCTCAATGGTACAATCCCTAAATTTACATGTGTTTCTTTAGCATAATATTCTTTAATGTCACAGATGATTTCTCTTGCTTTCAAAGCTATTAATTTAAATGCCCCAATTTCAGATTCTAGGACTGATGATAATGTTAGGCACGTTCATTTATTAATAGCATAATATATTTACTCTTATTTCAGTGATAGAAAACATGAAGAAAGCATTAAGACTTATTCAATCAGAGTTGTAAGAGATGACAGAATAATGCCTTCACTTCATAGAGGTCAAGTGTCATGAAGAAAACCACTGGCTTATCTACAGATACTAAATGTGCAAGTATTTGGACTTTGTAACATTACTATTTAGATTTTTAATGTGTTTGCAACGTTCTTACAAAGATAAAATGATATTTTAATAAATGTCAAAAACTGAGAATGACAATATCATTTGATTTCTGTGTATATCAGTCGTCAAGAAAGCTTGTCATGAGCCAAGAGTTGTGGTGGAGACAGGAGGACCCAAAGAAGAGGTGTCTGTACTGATTGTTTTTCTTTTCTCACCTGTCATTCACTCTACTAACGAATCTAATTTTAATTCTGCCCCCTCCACTATATCAAACCTGCTAGTGTAGGTCATGAATGGTTTCTGTGTTACCAAAGCAAATAGATGCGTCTCTGTCTACTTCTTCTTTGACCTTTTAGCACCATATTTCAGTTAACCACTTAATTCTTTTCCTCCTTTAAATTAAGATAGATATTTAAAACTCAAATTCTTCTGGAATCTCAATTCTATTCCATTGGTCTATATGCCTGTTCTTGTGCCAATACCAGGCTATTTTGATTATTGTAGCTTTATAGTAAATATTAAAGTCTGGTAGTGATACCTCTGGCTTTGTTGGTTTGTTTTTGTTTTTGTTTTTGTCTTCTGAGGATTGTTCTGGTTATTCTTGGTCATTTGTGTTTCCATATGAATTCCTGTATTTTTTCTAGATTTGAGAAGAATGTTGCTGGTAATTTGATGGGTATTGTGTTAAATCTTTATATTGCCTAAGGGTACCTGCACAATGAGTATTTGTACACCTAACCCTTAACTGTACCACACAATCTTAAAATAAAATAAAATTTAAAAAAATTTTAAAAACCCAAATGCAATAAATTTTAAAATGTATTTTTAACTTTTAATTTTTTTATTTTAAAGATGTGGGGCACAATTTAGGGTTAGGTATACAAGTGTTCATTTTACAGCTACCCTTATTAAAATGTATTTTTAAAACCTAACTACATATTTTTCTTAATTTAATTATTCATTAGATATGGTAAAACTTTTAATAAATCTAAGAGAAGTGTAACCACCTCAGTAAGATTGAAGAATTTCTCCGTTAACTCACAGGAAAGAATTATAGCCATTCTGAAATAACCAAATCTCCAACCACAAACTCAGTTTATCACAGGATGCTTCTAAAGAGTCAATACCACATCTTCTGTTCCTTTAAATAACAACAACAACAAAATTTTCATAATATAAATCCCCAAATCAACTGGGAGTAATTATCAGAAGGTAGAGAATGTTTTAGAGGAAAAAATTTTTCTAATCCATAGGATTTGATTGCATTTAACAAAATTTGAGTTGCCTTGAAATAAAAAAAAGTACACCTTTACATGAGACAGATATGAAATGTCTATGATATAAATACCTAATTAATTTCAATGTTTAATGAGTTGGAAAAGTATTTCCTCTAGGTGTTATTTGATCACTAGTCTGCTAATTCTAAGCATACTTTTAGTAAGCTGATCTGTTTGAATATAAATAAGTTGTATACCATCAGTACTAGAAATCCTTATATCCTATTTGCAAAAGAGTATTAAATATCCTATTTTTATTTTTTATTATATTCTATTTTTAATTTGTTTTTTATTTTAGAGCAAAGTCCACAGTTAATTTTCTTAGTGAATTCAAAGAGATCAAAATGCAATGGCATTCTCTGATTTAATCATTTAACATATGAAAACTAAAGTAATATAGCTAATTCCATGGTTGCATAAATAGTTTGAGGTAGAAGATATCAAGTGGTCATTTGCAGTGAACCAAAGAAGCGTATGGTTGTTAATTTAGTTGTTGTTTCAAGAATTAATAAATAGCCAGGCACGATGGCTCACGCCTATAATCCCAGCACTTTGGGAGGCCGAGGTGACAGGATTGCCTGAGCTCTTGGGTTCGAGACCAGCCTGGGCAACTTGGTGAGTCCTCATCTCTACAATAAATCAAAAAATTAGCTGGGTGTGGTGGCACATGCCTGTAGTTCCAGTTACTTGGAAGGTTGAGGTGGAAGGATCACCTGAACCCAGCATGTTGAGGCAGCAGTGGCCATGAGCATGCTACTGAACTCCAGCCTTGGCAACAGAGTGAGACTTCAATTCAAAAAAAAGAAGAATTAATTAATAAAATTGAGCATTCACTTATTTTTCTTCAATTAGTGTTAAAATGTTACTAGGTAATACATTGTCCTTTGTACTAATAATGTATATGCATTTTTGTTTAATATACATGTAATTATATTGTTATACATATAATTGTGTTATATATAATTACATGCATGTTAACATTTAATATACATATATTACACATATAATTAGTTGATAATTGGATATATCATGCAGTATAGCCTTGTAACTAATTTAGTTTATCTTCCTTACCAATTTTAATAATTAAATTCTATATCCTAGCTGATATTTCTACCTTTTTTTTTTGAGTCAGGGTCTCACTCTATCACCCAGGCTGGAGTTCAGTGCAAATTCATGGCTCACTTCAGCCTCTATCTCCTGAGTTCAGGCAATCCTCCTGCCTTCCAGTCTCCTGAGTTGCTGGGACTACAAGCATACGCCATCATGCCTGGCTAATTTTTTAATTTTTTTTTTGTAGAAACGAGGTTTCACTATGTTGTCCAGGCTGGTCTCAAACTCCTAGACTCAAGCAATCTTCCCACCTCAGCCTCCCAATGTGCTGGGATTACAGGTGTGAGCCACCAGCCCCAGCCCCTAATGGCTTCACTTTAGAAAATTTGTTGTTTGGATTTGATCACCTCTAAGGTTATTACTACTTTTGAAATGTATGACTACACTTGAAGTGTGGGTTTATGTACATATATATATGGGAGGAGGAGTGTATGTGTATCACTTTATTTCCATTACTTTTACCCATATAACCTCTAAAAAAATTATTTTTTCCCTAACACCTCCAATGTTAAGAAAAAGAAATACATCAGCTATCTGAAATATGCACAATTCTGTGTACATCGGCATTTTTATAGAGGAGCTGTAAATGCTTTCATTTGCATTTCAAAGCAACATCATAGTAAAAAAATGTATATATATTCAAAAGGAATTAGAATTGGGGTGCCAGAAAAAGTACAGAACATTCAGTTAAGTTTAAATTAGAGATAACACTTTTTAAGTATAAGTACATCTTGTGCAATACTTGGGGCATACTTATATTAAAATACACTTGTTGCTTATGTGAAGTTTCAAATTTAACTGGGGATGTATTTTTTGCTAATATCGGCAACCCTAGCTTAGTATTATACTACTGTACTCAATCTTCCTCTTCCTTATTTGTCTTTCCCCTTAGTTGGCAACATTTCTTTTATATTTCAAATCAATCTCTTAATTTCTGAGATCAGAAAACCTCAATTAATTATATAATTATAACATTTAATGTTTCCCAGTTATCCAACACTTAATATCCACTCTGTGCCAGATACTATGTTTCATATTGTGGCTCCAAAGATGGACAGGATAAAAATAAGGCCATTTTACTCCCCCTGAGGAATTCATGGTCCAGTGGGAAGATATATCACTGATGGGAAATAATGCCTCATTAAATGATGTAATAAAATGATGTGAAGTCAGTGAAAAGATATTTCACACAAGATGCAGCAACCATGAATCTTGAATGATATGAGAATATATTCCATCATTATGGAAATTAAAATGAGGAAATACAACATAAAGTATATGATAGGGGCTAATAATTCTTGTTCATTTGTTTAACCTTAAAATACATAAGTATATAGGATGTTGTTGGTAGAGTCTTTCAGGATTTTAGATTAGAGTTAATAAGAATATGCCAAACCTCAGGCAAACTTACTTTTTTTTAACACACTGATTTACATACACAAAGATTTATAGAGATTTACTTAAGTGTTTTAAGTAGTACTTCTTGAAATTCAGTTATATATAATCTATATGTTTATGAATATCCTTACTGAGTGCAGAAAGATAAGAAGTTTTCTGCTTTTTATTTTTATTTTTTTAGTGTGTGTGGGATGTCATTTCACTAAATGGAAAGCTCTTGGAAATAAAAAGTCTCTCTCCCCAGTCCCTGCTCTTTTACACACACACACACACACACACACACACACACAAGTATGTACACACAATCTCACAAAATAAGTTGTGTGAAAGTTAGGGGAGACAGAATTATGTGGAGCACTCACAATAGATTATTAAACACGTGGTTCTCTTGGTGATTGCAGTGATTCCATTTATGAACCACTTTTCTGGAATGAATTCATTGAAATGCAACTGGATTTTTGCTGAGGGTAGTGATTACTGCAGCTTCTGAAAGTATATCACAGCCACTCTCCAGGATAGGATACTGTTACAGGTTGAATTGTGTCCCCCCTGAAATTCATAAGTTGAAGTCTTAACTCCCCATATCTCAGCATATGACTTTATTGAGAAATAAGGTCATGAAAATGTGATTGGTTAAGATGAGGTAAATGACTAGTATCCTTATAAAAACAGGGAATTTGGACACAGAAGAGTGCACATGGAGGGAATGGCCTATGAGCCTGAAGGCAGACATTGAGATCACATAGCAGAAGCCAAGGAGTGCCGAAAGCTGTCAGCAAACACACTGGACAACAGGCATGGAACAGATTTTCCTTCATGGCCCCCAGAAGGAACACCTTGATCTCAGACCTCTGGCCTCCAGGTCTGCCAGACAACAAATCTGTTATTTAAGCCACCCAGTGTGCAGTATTTTGTTATGACACTCTAGCAAACCAATACAGATGCCTTGCCCTCCAACCCCCAATCTGCATGATTCCCACGATGGGTAAGGAAAAACCAAAACATTTCAAAAGAAGCACTTGCTAGAATGGAAGAACGATTCTCACAATAACTTTCCCTGGTTCTAACCCTATCCTCCAAACAAATTTCTGCCGAAGTAAATGTTATTTCAGTACTCAAAGAGTTTTAGATCATTGGTTAAATGAATCAAGTTTAGGAAACACCTAAAGCCAATAGTTTTAATGCAAAAAGCAAAAGCCATTCCCAGAGAAAGTTCTGATTATATTTGACACTTGGTTATTATTAAAGCAAACCTATATTGAACCCTTTCTATGTTCTGGTCACTG